TCGGAAGCTGATAAGAAGAGAGGAGGCAGGCTTCGGACAGGCCACAGAGAGGCCGCAACAGGTGAGGCCTCGGACAGGCCTTTGGAAGTGCTTGGAAGGGTTCTGCTAGGCTTGGCCAACTGCTGCATCCTGCGCCTTTGGAAGTGCTTGAAGGGTTGTGCTAGGCTTGGCCAACTGCTTCACCCTGCGGTGTCCCAGGCGCCTCCCCGCCTAGGCTTTGGCTATAGGCCGGGGTCGGCGGATATATATATATATATATATACGAATATTGACGATTCAACCAGGTCAGTCTTGGTGAAAGTAGCATTGGATCCACGGATCATTCTCAGGAGGCGCAAGCTGCTGCGCAGGGCACCCCGAATCGCTTCTGAGAGCGCGCAGGAAGACCTATCCTATCCGTATCTCTTGATACAGGTGAACATATTATATACATCAAAATTGACTATGTTTGGTGTCTTGCTAGTTGTTCAAAGAACTGGGGAAATGGATTATGGCACCCTAGAATCCTAGAAGGCCACATTCATTCCTCTACTTCCCACAAGTGCCTCTTCACTTCTGTTTTCTGGTTAGGGTGCAGCCGACAAAACCTGCAGGCACATCATGCCCAAATGCTGATATTTATGGGGTGTTGATCCATTTGTTCATGTGCACAACAATGTAGGAATGCTGGAGCAGTTCAATTTGCGCAGAAGTCGCAGAAGTGCTTGACTGCATTTGTTACTGCTACCATGCTACTGGCTAATGCAGCTTATTTGGGCTGTGAGCAATGTAAAGCAAACCAAGTGGTGCATTGGTGCATGCACCTTATTGATTGATTGGCTGTTCATGGAATTCTAAACCAAAAGGTGCACACCACAGACTTACTTCATATATATATATATGTGTGTGTGTAAACCAAGTTTATCTAAGGATTGAAGGACATGGCAGAACCCTCCCCGCAAAGATCCCCTTGACACACGGATTCTGCGGTCGACACGGTCGTCACCGACGACCGCCCAGGCGCCTTTTGGCCGAGCGGGAGAAGGAGACGCAGCGCTGCGCCCTTGGCGTCGAAGCACCGAAGCACCGAACCTGGTGTTGTTGCGAACCTTTCTGTATCTTTCTGTCTAAACAGCAGGCTGGTGAGCAGAATTGGTGTTCTTTCAGGATCTTTCAGGCATTGATTTAGGATTTGGTCCTTTAGTCAGGGCAACTAGGTGACCATGATACAACTCGAACAAGGAGATATCAGAGATGCTTATTGTGTTTTTTTCTCGGGCTGCCCTGGAAAGCCCAGGGCCAAGGCTTTGATTCATCCTGTGTTCAGTGAAACTCAGGGTGGTCGGGCCCAGAACTCCACCGAGGATGTCCAGACAGGGTGTTTTCTCGTCACTGGACGTCACGAGGCCTGCGTGCTTCCATGCAACGAGATGAAGCGCAGCTCTTCTCGGCCCAGGCTTGAAGCCCAGCGCCCCCATGCGAGCGGAAGAGTGATGAAGAGTGTACTTGTTGGGGGGGTGGGAGGGATATTCTTGTTTCGAGTGCATTGATTCCGTGAGGCACCCGCTGTGCGGAAGGGCTTTTGAGGGGCGATCGGGGGGTTGGACTGCAAATGAGGGAGCCAAGTGTGGAGTGAACCATGAGGAGTCCCTCAGTAGAAGGTTCAAGAGTGATGAGAGGTTTTGAATTGGGCTGTTTTCATAGGGAGTCCCAAGCCCTTGTTCATGTGCTGTTCCGTCAGCCCTTTGTGGATTGAGCAGGTGAGGGTCATTATTCATGCCATTCATATCCATTCATGCGTTTTGGACACCACAGCAAGGCCACCCTCGAGACTGATCAATTAGCCGCAATAGCTTCGCATTGGTGTGGGTCTGGGTCGGAATCCTAACCATGGCGGGGGAAGAGATGGAAGCTAGCCATCCAGCAGTCTTTGAGCCTGGTCTTCTATTAATGGAAGACTTCCAAACATCACTGGCCTGGCACACCCGGTCCGAAGCTTCCCAGGCAGTGCTGGCGCAGCAAGGCAGAAAGACATCTGTCGATGGCGCAACAATTGGTGGGCGAGCGGCTAGAAGGTCTCATCCTAATTGCGTGTTGGATTTGCTGCTTCAGAGCAGGTTCATAAGTCCTTGCTTAGCACGGAGCTTGGAACTCCAATTTAGCCTACCAGTGGATTGCCAGCTCACAGCGAGCTATAGCAGCTATAGTGGAGCAAGTGAGAGGAGTCAATTTGCGCCACCTCTCAGCAGGAGGTAGCAGGAGGTATCAGGAGGTCTAATTTGTTTCTACTCCCCACATGTAATCCTTTTCTTTTTCAGTTCTTATTCCTCGGTCGAGTCTATTTATGTTTTTTGTCATGTCCTTCGTCCACTATCGGTGTGGGTTTTATATGGTTTGAAGTCATACTTGCGTAACCAACTTCCTGCTTGGCAATGATCAACCACTTCACAGTTTCCTAGCCCGAACACCTCAAACTTCGCAGCATGTAGCTCCTGGCATAGCGATCCGATCAGACCGGGTACTCCTGAGATGGTCAGAAAATGACCGATATTGACCTAGAAGGGTCCGGGTCGGTGGCATTCCGGGGAGCAAGTGGTATTTCTGGCCTTCTTGCTAGGTGTATACAGTAACAGTTAATCGTGTTATATCTAGAATCTAGTTAACATACCTGGAAGAAAGATAAAGTAAGTGAAAGTGGAATTCTGGCTTTGCCAGAAGTTTTGCCATTCCGACCCTTTGTGCCAGGGCAGCGGGAGTCGGAGGCGCGGATGACTGGGTCTTGACAGGTGGATGTTGTGATGAAACCGGTGTGTTTCTGGGGATGTTCATCCACTTTGAGAGTTTTTTTTCAGAGAGAGAATGGAGTACACAGATGTAGTTACCGTAAAATTCATGAAGCCTCGTCGATGTTGCGTCGACTTTTGATAAACTGCGGGCTCGGGGAGCTTGGGAGGCCAAAGAAGCAGAAGAACGGCGCCAAGCAGAAGAGATGCAGGAGGCATTCTGTCATGATAGGATTTCTCCTTGGTGGATGAGCTGAGTTCTCCAAAGAATGTGACTTTTCATTTGGTCGTCCTGCTACAGGTCCCTGTTCTAGTGGAATTCGAGCGAAGACTCGATCCACCTGATGGTATGTCACATGGTTCCAGCACCTGATGGTGTGGCACCTGCGGAATCCAGAGCCCGTGTGCCAAGCACCAATATTCGAATCCACGTCAGGCTGAAACAACTCTTTGGGCGTTGCGTTCTCGCACCTGCCCCCAGTTTGCTGTGATCAATCCTGACAGGCACTTCACTGGCAGATGGGCCGATGGGCCTGTTGCATACCAAGTGTGCGGTACATATATGTATATACTATATATATATTATAGCACGCAGAATAATAACAATTAGGATCAAGGACTGGCTTAGTGAATGTTCCAAAAGCTGCGCGACCCATTCGCTTCATCCTTCCTTACTTCCTTACCACTGACCGGGGGTACGATTCCTGATTTCCTTGTGGTCCCAGTTTCCCAATCAACAAGCACCACCATGGGGCCGTGGTGGACTGCATCGTCTAAGGCCAGGATGATGCCTTGGCCAAGCTCCAGGACACCGCAAGAGAAAAGAACGAGATGAAGTTCTTTTTTTGAGTCACGGCAATCATTCCCAAAACGATGCAGATCGTGGGTGTGTTTTTGGAGATGGTATTCTGGTATTTAAGTCCGTTTATTGAATTAAGACTGATTGTTTGTTCCGGGGGCTTGTGCATGTGCAAAGGCAATGCATTTTAGACATGTTAAACTCAGTCTTTTCATTGTCAATTAAGGTGTCCCATTGGAGATAATTTGGGGCGTGTCCATCCGAACTTGCATTTGGCTAATCGGTTTACTTCCGCTGTTCTGGGGCAACTGAAGGACAAGGAAGGAAAGATACTTCAGTTTTTGGTCCAACTGAAGTTGAAGTTTTTTTTTTGGGCAAGTGTTTCTCAAGCATCAACTTGTCAACTGACTAAGTATACAGGTCTCTCGGTCTCTTTCTCTCTCTCTCTCATTAGCTCCGACATTTGTTGGCAGGGGTCCTTTTTTGACGTACCTGGAAGGAGGAGCAAGAGAAGAATCACCGTTTCCGTGCTTGGCCTGCATGGCGTTCATCGCGGGCTTTCCAAAGCTAAGCAGGGCGACCACTGGGCTGCTCATCCTCCCAACGAACTGATATTGGCCGATCCATTCAAGTCAATCCCTTTAAGCTTCATGGTTGTTTAAACCTGGGACTGGGACCTGGTTGGCACACTTTCACTCACATGCTTCAGCGGAAGACGTCGGAAGACTCATGACAACCCTTTAGGTTGGTGGAAAGAACCATTTTCCCAAGTCATGCTTTGTAAGTCAGTTGATGTACTTTGAAAAGCTTCTAGCCCCCACAGGTTAGCCTTTTCTACCCAGGTCCTGCTATGGCAAAGCGAGGCCACTCTACCTCAACTTTGCTGCTCAACCATGACCACAGTTGCAGTTGGAACACATGGGTGCTGTATCCAGGTCCTAGTTGCATGAAAAAGTTGCAGAAGTCCTTCAAACACCTGATGAGTCTTTGCTTCCTTGAGCAATACAACGCAACAGAGTCATATTGTATGTTTCTCTCTCTTTATTAACATATGATAGATGCAACAATATGTACTTGTTTTGTATTCCCATGGACGGTTTGGTTTTCACGGGAAGTTGCAAAAATAGCACAGACAACAGGCGTGTTGGCTCAGCATGGGTTTGCAGGGGCCGCCCTCCTGCCAAGATGTCAAGGCTGCGCTCGGTGTTGAAATTTAATGATGTATAATAGATCAGGTCTCCCCCGATATAACCCACTTAGAATTTGGAGTCTTTTTGTGTGAAAGTGTTGTGTTTGCAGATTCTATGTGTGTCTCTTCGGGGGTGTAGTCATGGACATTGGTGATTAACCAGGTGGTCCACACTTTTGTTCAATTGTTTTGAATATATGTTTTAACTTATTTCTCTATATTGTTTTGCTTGACGCTTCCACTTCTTACATGATTGGAAGTGGTTCACTGAGCACAGCTTTGCTGGCTTTGCCTTGGCGGGATGAAGATGTCCAAGTCCAACGAAGGGCTGCCACTCGAGGCGCGGGGGTGACCCGTGACCAGGACAGGATGAAACTTGTTCAGGAGGTCCCTTCTCACCCTATGGATCCACACACCTTCTGAGACTATTTATGTGGGCTTGGAGGGCCCAAGTACCTTCTGAGAAGGTATGTGGATCCCTAGAGTCAGATTGTTGAAAACTGCAGTCTGAGGGGTGAGTCCACTGTCGGAAAATGTCGGAATTATTGACTTTGATCATTCACCCCGCTATACATGGGTGCTTTGATCCTTTAGTTGTACTTTTGGAAGGTCATCGTGTTGAGAAGCCCAGGCTGCAGAGCTCAAACATTCACGCCAGGTGCGTAAGAAGGATGACGAGCCAACCCTGGACGATCCCAAAGGCGAAGGAACCGAAGGCTGGAACGGGTGGTTTTTGGGCTCCGACATGTGAAACCGCGTGAAACTGGTTGCCAAAACCAGACAAAAGAGAGCGTTCTCAGTTGAATCCAACATGAGGCCGCTTGCACGGACCCGCACGGATTCGTGGCTCAAGGCGGAATTTGGGGCGCCTCGTCACGGCCAGGGGGGCCGAACCAACCGGATTTCCGGGCCGAAGCGCAATGATGCGTCGTAGTGCCGTGTGCTTGGGCGCCTTGGGCCTCGCCAATGGCAAGGCCTCACATTTGCCGTGCAAAGACATGTAGTGTTTGCTGAGACGGAGAGGAACCAGATAATTGATATCATCCTGCATGTTTTCACGACAGAATGTGACGGGTTGACCACTGGAAATATGGCTCTCTATTTAAAATAGGAAAACTTGTCCTGCATTTTGAGGTTTGGCATTTTGTAGAGTCGAGGGAAATCTCAGCGCACCCAGAATATGATGATTTGCAGACTTGTGATTCTGCAGGGAAACATGGTCATTGAGTCATTCACATTTAAGGTGGTTGTGAACTGGCCGATTTGCATTTTGTGGCAAACCTTGCATTTTGTAGAGAAAGTTGTGCTGGAGGATTTGGTAGGGGGATGCAGGATTGATTGTTGTAGTGTTCTCATATACAAAGTATGCGCACGAGACCGGCAAAATGACCCGCTGGAAAATGGTAAACTATGGTAAACTTGCCAAGAATGGTTTGTTATATAGCTATTGCTGAAGTTGCCGTTTTGTAGTGCTGGTTCTTGTAGTGGTGTTATGTGACTTTTCTGGTGTTTTTTTTTCCCAAATCTCGAAGTGCAGGACGCCCTCCCTTCTACAGAATGCCAATCTGCCACCTTTGCCTCACAAAACCACCCGAACTGCTCAAAGGAGGGTAGACATCTCGGATTTCAACACAAGACGATATGCTGAGGCCTGAAAGCTTTGGGAAACCATTGGAAGCCGACCCATGTTTCTCCCCAACCCCTCCCCGAATGTTCCTCAAGAATGGTTTGTTATCTATAGCTAGTGATAGCAGCTAGTGCTGAAGTTGCCATTTTGTAGTGCTGGTTCTGCTAGTTTGCCTCGTTTCGACAACAAAATAAGTCTATACAAGGCTTTATGGAATTCTCTCAGCTGTTCTATTGTTTTTGGTTCTCACATGTCCCCAAAGGTCGAGGGATGTCAAGGGTCACGGGACCATCAGAACATATCAACCAGTCTCAGGCACCGGGACCGCCACTCTGACTCTCCATGACGGACCTCGTAGCAGACACACGTGGTTCACCAGACACGAGTGGTTCACCGTTACTCCGGTTGGTCTCGGTGTCCGGATCGGCTCGGTGGAGAGGTCTATTTTGCTGAGACCTTCGGCAGTGGCTGGGAGGATCGATGGAGCTCCAGCGAGTGGAAGAAGAGCGATGGCACGCAAGGCACCTGGAAGCTCTCGGTCACTTGGTGAGGGATGGCCCACGGGGCTGTGACAGACATTTGGTTCGGTGGAGACGTATGGGTGAGATTTGGGGAGTCAGGACAGTCAGGCCATGCAACGTGTGTTTGGTAGGCCGCCTCATTGTATCAAAAGCGAGAGAAGACCCAAGAGCTTGTAGATGTGAGTGAAGAACAATCCATTGACGATGTGGAGTATTGAAACACATTCAATCCTCAGCATAGGCAACAGTAGCCTCCCGCATTGGTGGAGGAAGAATATAAGAATTATGGGAGGCGCCCCTTTTATGCTATTTCTAGTATCATTTGGGTTATGATCATGCGAGGGCCTGCGAGAGCGGCACATTCATTTCCAGGAGATTGGGGGGCCCATCTCCCTCCTTTGGCCCCTTTGAACACACAAGTATTTTGATTTCAGCCATCCCATACGGTCTCCAACAGCTGGTAGTGTTCCATTCCAATTCTTCCCAGTCTTCCTTAAGAACCTTCTGAGCATACTTGCACCACAAGAACACCTGTCGAGCCCGTACAGCCCGCCGAGGCAGGGAAATGGTTCGGCGACGAGGCCGAGGACCAAGGCATCCAGACTGCCGAGGACTCGCGCTTCTTCGGTTTATCCGCCGGCTTCGAGTCCTTCAGCAACGCAGCTTGGCCCGAAGCAGCCCGAACCCACGGCCTAGCCACCGGGCTGTGATAGGGTAGATGGACCTTTTTAGTCATCCATTCTGTTCGTGTGCCGTGGTCAACCAGGGACTCCCGGTTGTTGACCCACAGCCACCGAGTCAGGGATGAAGCATCCGGTAGACGGTCAGAAAATCGTCAGGATGAAGCCGGTAGCGCCCCATGGTCAGTGATCGATGAAATTTGTTCATTCGGGGGCGTATTTGAAGGTTCTTTCTGGGGTTCACCAGCATGATCAAGCGCATTTGACATGAACAGCTTTTCGACATCGTTTCTAGGATCTTTGTTGACTTTCGTAGACTGGATTGTGTCCTGCGACGTCGTGTATAGTATATATAGATTGAGATGAGACCCATCGCTGTGTGTGTGTGTGTTTGTGTGTGTGTTTTGGATTGCCTCATGGTTATTCATCACACATCCCCAAATATGTTGGCTGCACCGGTGTGCTCATTTTGTGCCCTTAAGGTGCCAGGATCGTGTTCTAATTTACTCGTGCACACTCTTGTTTGCAAGATATTAATCAAAGAGGTGACATGGGCCGTTTGACGGCTGCAAGTCTGAGGCTGGCAAGGAGCTCATCATCCAGTACCAAGCCAAGTACGAGAAGGATTAGCTTACGGGGACTCAAGGGGAATGGACAGTCGGTGGTGAACTTGTGCACAGTGCATGACAGAGGTATATAGTAGATGCTTCGGTAGATGTGCTGCACGCGCCATTGTTGCTGGCGTCAAGAATGAATATGCAGGTTTAAAATCATGTAAATACGTTTAGCATGTCTTTAATAACAGTAATTTGCAAGCTGAATGAATAGTAAGGGAGCCACCAGGCAGCTTCAAAGATCTCAGCCGGATCGCCGAACTTCAGGACATCGAGTGTGGCGGTGGATATGTGAAGATTGGCCCCAAGCTGAGTGACCCAAAGACCTTTGGTGACCCAACTCCTTACAACATCATGTTCGGCCCCGACAAGTGCGGCTACACAAAGCGTCGGGAGCCTCAGGAGCCATTTGGGAGGTGGAACACTTCATCGATCTTTGGAAGATTCACGCCAAAAAGATAATGGTCTGTGGAAGAACGCCCACGCAGGACTACAGTCCCAAACTGCGCTGTCATTACTTCAACTTAGACTGTTCTGAGTAGTGCTATTTCTTGACCTGTCACTGTCAATTGGTTGATTGTCGGGGGTTGGGGATCAACCTGAGAGATTCTCAAAGGATGTTGATGCTGGAGGTGTGCAATTTGTTAATTTCCCCAAGTGCCAGTGAGCATCCCCATACTGGCATCTACATAAGCAAGTGGAAGTTGCCACCAACTGCTGATGTCGTTTGCCAAAATTTGGGATTTGCTCAGATCTGACTCAGGAATGGAGCACTTAGGAAGTGAGTGGCCAATAGTTTCCCAACATTCTGCTGAATGGGATCGACATGTGTTGAGTGGTTTCGAGGTGTTGCATGTGAAGGATTTGGTCAAGAACTTGGAAGGAGGAGGCCTTACATGGGATTCTAGTGGTCTTTTTTAGGCCCTTTGATGTTTGGGCTGAAAAGAGGCACCCCTGTCACACGAAAATCTGGCCACTGCTTGTGCTGCGGCCTAGCAGTCTCACATCGTCGCATTTGTCATCGGTGCCCAAGGTACCCACTTGATCTTCAGCTACAAGGGGAAGAACGTCCTGAAGAAGTCAGACTTGGCCTACAAGCAGGAGGGTGAAGGCACCTCTCATGTTTACAGGCCTCTAGGCTGGAAGACAAACATGGAAGACTCCAATGAACCAGTAGATTTTTTGAATGGCCTCGATTCGAGCAATTCGGAACACATAGCGCATGCCTCGGTGGGATGTTTTCAAGTCAATCAGCACACCCAAGGCTGGTGCTCAAGCCGGACAACACTGCACGAGTGGAGATCGATGGTGCCCTGGATGACCAACGGGTTGAACTAGCTTAAGCATCCACCAATTTGTATGAGTAACGACGCGCATGACTTTTTTGGGGGTGGTGAGCAGGGACGTGCTACAACTTTTGAAGCGACCTTGGAATGTTACTAGCATCAGTATAGTATCAGCCCTGGTGTCGCACCAAGCGTGCACGGTCCTGGTCCCAGACTCCCGAAAGTGACCCGTTGGACGTACTTACTTGCCCATACAGAAGTCCCACAGATAGGGCTATTGTCGAGCTAGGGTAGACGGGTAGACCCTAGCGGGTCATATGGGGCTAGCCTAGGGTACCCATAGGCCTGTGATAGGCCTACCCCTAGCCTACCGATACCCCTATCCTAGGCCTACCCCTAGGCTATCCAGAGGCCTATCGCTGAATTGGCTGTTCAAAGCGTCCAGGTGAAAAGATCTACGAAGGATCGTTGAAGGAGGATTGGGAGTTGCTGGCCCCCAAGGAGCGGGTGAATGTTGGAATCCAAGCATTTTTAGGTCTTGACGGAATCTGAGGCTTGAGTCTTTGTTCAGTCTTTGGGACTTTCTGAAGTTGGCCCTGTTCCAGTCTTGATTCTTGATTGTTTCTTGCCGCTCCCATGCTCCGCATCATCGCATGAGGAGATCAAGGACCCAGAGGACAAGAAGCCCAGCGACTGGGTGGATGATTCAATGATGGATGACCCGGAGGACCGGAGGGAGCGACTGGCGAGCTCAGGCCAGTACCCTTTTCCAGACTTTTATCAAAGCCAAGTCTATTCAACGTGGTTGGTTCGTTTTGGGTTGGCCAAAGACCGAATTCGGGATTCGAACCTGAGTACGGCCTTGAGGACAAGAAGCCGGAGAACTGGGTAGAGGAGAAGCGCATTGTGGACAGCAAGGCCAAAAAGCCTGATGATTGGGATGACGAAGAGGATGGGGAACCTTAGCTGAAAGGAGATCGAGACAGAATTGCATTTGGGAGATGTAATTAAGGGACATCCGAAACTGGCCCTCCAAGGGCCTATGCCTATCGTGTTCTTGTCTTCCGTAGTCAGGGAAGACAAGTCCAGATGGGCAAGGAATTTATAGAAATTTGCCCGTCCTCCTCCAACACACATCCAATAACATGCATATTTTTATAAACACTTTTTACAAGAGAGCGAAATCAGTCATGTGATGTCATTTGTCATATATGTAGAAAGCAGAAACTCTGCTCATTTTTCTGTTGGGGACAGTTGTTTTTTGGTTTATTTTTGTTGCCGGGCGGCGGTGTCCTGTGACTTTTTGTGAAACCCAGCCCTGAACAATGAAACTGCACAAGAGGTGGATGAATAGGGTGAATCCTACAATGAAAAAATACTAAATAACCACTTAGGAGAAGGTTTCCTGATGTTTGCTCAAAGTTAGTTGTTCACAGTGAGTTCCCTGTACTTCTACATTTCACCTGCTAAGTTGTTGCAGATGTAGGTTCCTCCTGCAAACCTACAATATCCATAACTGGCATCGACGCGCAACATGTACAGACTGCGCACGCAGACAACTAGTCCCCCAATTCCACGCTGCCGCATAGGCCTGGTTGCTAGTAGCGATGCCCTTTGCTCCATTCGTAGCGTTCTTGCTCCTAGTAGTAAGGCCAGGAACCCCTAGCGATGCACTTGTTTCTACTAGCTTCTTGTTCCTACTAGTAAGGCACCTGTTACTACTAGCGTGGCACTTGTTCCTAGTAGCGTTCTTGTTCCTAGTCCTGAGTCCTGAGGTGTGTTGCTCACACCCACGTCGTCACGTTTCAGCATGTTTCTAGCACCTTGCTGGGCACCTGCTAGACTGGACCAGTCATCGTCTAAGGCCGGCACCGAGCACGCCGCGGGTTTGGCCTTGCCCTGAAACACTGAGGAATGGGAAGCACCCATGATTGACAACCCCGACTACAAGGGCGAGTGGACCGTGAAGCGCATCTCCAATCCTGCCTACAAGGGAATTTGGGAAGCCAAGAAGATCGCCAACCCTGAGACTTGGAAGCCAAGCAGACCGTGGCAACAACACCATGGTCCGATTTTTGGTGGCCTTACTCACTGGACGCGGTGGAAGTATGTGGTGCTGGCTGGAGTGCATGTGATATACGCAATGTACATGCAGAAAAATACGTTGAAGACTAGCATTGGTCCAATTTTTGGTTGACAAAGCACAGGGTCTTCGGAGTCCATGTGAGCTTGTTTTCGTGTCATGCAACAAGCGATGCGTATGGGTGATCCATCTGAGGATTTTGTGGATGATGACAGTCTCTACAAGTATGACGACTTTGGCTTCATTGGTTTTGACTTGTGGCAGGTGAAAGGCAACACCATTTTTGATAACATCATTATCACAGACGAGGTTTCTGAGGCCGACAAATTCCTCCAGAAGTGGAAGACACTCAGTGAGGCGCCGGGGTTTTGACCAAACCCAGCCCAGCGTGCGGAGTTCAGGGACTAGGCTACGTTTGTCCTTGACCAAGGTGGACATGCACGGGTTTGAAGCACCCAGATACTGCATATGGCATATGGGTGTTTGGTTTTGGAGGCGGTGAATGACATTTGTGCAGAAACAACAACGCAGACTTTGTGCATGCCGCGGAATGCAAGAAACATGCAGGTGGCAACAGCGGGTTTCATCACCTTTCATCACCTGTATTTCACAGCACGGATCCGTCAAAGATGAACACACGTTGTAAAAGTCTGTGGAATGTGGACGCGAAACTGCCACTGACTCAGCGACTTTCCTTGGTCAGTTGATGCTGGTTCTTGGCCGTCCTAACACTTTACAAACTGGACTCTATAGGGCTCTGTTGGTGGACACCTCTTAACCTCTGAGGGGTGCACATCTCCTAAGGGGCTATTACAGTAAAACTCTATTAAAATAAGCACTCCTTGGGGGCTGCTGGTCCAGGTTCCTTTATGCTTCTTTGAATTTGTCGACCCCATTTTCATTTGGGCGAGGTCGAGAAGGCCAAGAAGAAGGAAGAGGACGACAAAAAGGCTGAAGAGGCCAAGAAGGCAGCGGACTCCAAGGAGGATGAGGATGACGACGACTCCGAGGAAGATTAAGACATCTGAGGAAAGAAAGCATGCTAGTTTTGTACGCCAACTGTGCGCAAAGACCAGAAGCCCGAGCTATCCCAGCACGGAAGAAAAGAGCAAGGCTGCCAATCCTAGTGTGGTGCGTGATTCATTACTGTCTTACACTTAGCGCCTTTAGCGGCTATGCTTCCATGTGTTTGTGTGTCCAATGTGTGTGTGTGACATTCCAAGTTGCCGCACTACATTCACTACACCTTTTCTGAGGCCAACAGACTCCGGGAACCGAACCGCGAGCAATGTACCAAAGTGGACTGTTTACCACTTTAGCCACCCTCCAACAAACATGGAAGCCGAGAATCGAGAACCCTTCCTTTTGAAATCATGTTCCAATAATTATCAGTTGAACACAACACCAGCGGACCTAGTCTTGCAACTGACATTGAAGGCTGTGGGAAAAATATGTGGGCCGAACTGCATTTCCCACAAGAAGTGTAAATATTGTTTAGTCGAGGTCCTTGACATCCGGGCCATGACTCCATGTTACTTCAGAATCTTTGGCCCTCAACCGATTTGTTGTGGTCTTGGCCGTTGAATGCCCATGTTCAGGTGGCGGGATGGACCACGGAAACGCTGCGGCGAAGGTTGCACCCACCCAAGGCGCGCTGGTCGAGTGGTGAGGTAAGGTGCCCAACTGCCAACTCCAAGAGCCCACAAACAACCTGTCTCAAACACGTCATCATTGCAGCTGCCCAAGGTCAGTAATTAAGGAGCTTTCCCAAGCTTATACAACAATATAAAACACCAGGTCAATGATGAATCCGCCATAATTGGGCTTGCTTTTCTTGGATGTATGGGGCGCGAGACCCCTTATGTTGTCACTGAAATGTGTTGTTTGTCGTGTTTAGACAGGATGTTTACATACATCGGCCCACGACCACAAAAGACGCCGGCGTGCTGTTTGGATCGTCACACCTCGTGTCAAGATATACAGTAGAGACAGAGGAATATGGCTAAAACAATAACAAGAATGCGTCTCTCATCATTTGATTTTTCGTTTTGGTTTGTTCTCTCTCTCTCTCTCTTTTTGAAAGAAACTGTTTGAGATGCAGACAGACATGTCCAGAATCATGGCCAGAACGAATCAATCGAGACTATAGATAGATCACTCCAAGACTACTCGCCATGGGATCGCGTATCAGTCGCTGAGATGGCTTTCGCTTTGAGCATCAACAACATGCCCCCATGTGGGTGATGAGCGTTGGGCATGTTCTCCAGATGGCACAGAGGTTCCGGCCGCATCAATTCTTGAAGGCTGAAGGTTTTCTAGAGAAGTGGGGTCCGAAGATGATCATTTTTGTCTCGCACCAGTGGCTGGGTCACAACCATCCTTGTCCGAATGGAGAGCAGCTGCAAGTGCTTCAAGGTATTTTAAGCCACGTGACGTGATCGCGGGGAAGCTCAAGATCGAAACTGATATTGTCTCGCAATCGAGAGGTGGCAGACTGTCCGAAGCAGACCTGCGGCAAATACAGGGTGCGTACCTTTGGTTGGATTATGTATGTGTTCCTAAGCCTATTGATGAGCATGCGGTGGATGGACTGGCAGAAGGTCAGCTGCAGTATGTTCACAGCATTCCAACATATGTGGGCCATTGCCATTGCAACGTCATTCTCGCTTTGGTACCGAAGGCTCTCCCTGACAGGGGCTCACATATATACTTCCATACCTGGCTTCAAATTCAAAGGGGTTGGTGTAGGACAAAGCTTTGGTGCCATTTCCCCTTTGCAAGATCAATGATTGCCATTGTTGCAGTAAAAAAAACACTATTTTTGGGGGGGCACAGTTCATAGCACCCTTGTGGCACTGGTACCCTGTGCACTACGGGGACTTTGCGGTGAAGAAGGACCGTGCCTTGTGTAGAAGTGTCATTCAAACAGCTTTGACTCAATATCTCGCGCAGCTGAGTCAGAGGAAGGATAACAACATGAATGATTAATTAGATGATGAAACACGTCGCAGGGCAGCTTTCAAAGCATGCGTGCCCTGCGATGTGTTTCATCATCTCTTCGTCCATGTGGTTCTCCGAAACATAGGTCCACTATAACTCCTCCCAGCCGTAAAACACCCTGTCACGTTTTGAAGATATGACTCTGACTGGTCCTTGGAGCCGCGTCGTAGTGTTGAGGTCTTGCTTTTGGAATTATCCTTTTCCAAACCTTTGGAGCACAAAGCCTAGGTCCACTGGCTTGCGCTACTCTCTCAGGAGAGCACAACTACTTTGTGGCCGAGGCTTGCCAGAGGTCCTGAAAGTGGCTGACTTCACGCCTTGCACTTGGCTGTAAGGTTCAGAAGCCATGAATTGCACGTGTTGGAGACACTGTTGGAATTGTGAGCCGAACCCAACTGTGCCAACTTCCATACTGCTTCACCGTTGTCTTTTTGCCGCGCAGGCGGCGTGGAGCTTTTGTTTCTGGGAGGTGGGGTTTCGAGGAAAGTTCTTGGGCCAACATTGCCCATTCACAATGTGGCAGGATGTGAGGCCCCGTGCGAGGTGCTTACTAGGCTCCTGGAGCTCCAAGCGGATGTGCACGGCGGACGGGGAGTAATCGCAAGTGCGTCGCCTTTGCACAACATTGCAGCCTTTGCATTTTTGGGTGAAGCCCAGAACGATGTGAAATTTGCCCAGCTCTCGTTGGAAAACAGAGCAGACTGGCAGACATTATATAACCAGGTTTGCCAGCCAGAAGGCATCATTAGTAGACAGCATTTCTCCCGAGCATACAGCAGATTTGTGCGGTTGTGAGTTTTGCTTCTTTTAGCTCTCCGGGACTTGAGCAGCACGCCTTTGGGTAGGTCCGTGTTTCTTTTTTTGAGAACGAAGACTACTTGGCTTTCCTGCTTCATGCTCGCGCAGATCCGGAGATCAGTAGCAGGGGTGTTCGACCCATTGAGTTTGCCTCTGACCTAAGGTGGTCGGCGAAAGCCTATGACCCAAAGTGCTGTCTCACCTGACCCTCCAATATGTGCAAGGCGCACATGCAGTGTAGTATAGTGTAGTCTTCAGGTCAAAGATGCCTTGAATAAATATGTTGTGGAAAAGCACTGCCGTCAGGCCACACGTCAACGCACTTTGTCATCATTTGCCAGCCCTGCTGCTAAGTAGGGCATGATGTTGGATTCGGATAGCGTGTTGCTTGTGCCATTTTTTTTTGGATCATGGTCTACGGTAACGCTTAGAGCACCATTCACGTGGAAGAAAGAACATGAAACATGACACACACACACACACTTATGGATATGCGTACTGACTTGACAGCGGTGCCACACGCCAGCCTATATAAGTGAAAAAACACCTAAGGAAACAGGGCAAGTAAGCTAGAAGTTGGAGGCCATCGCCCAAGTTTGGAGGCCATCGCACAAGCAGACAGCAACAAGGTTAGAGGTCATCGCAGATGGGTTGGAGGCCATAGTACCAAGTTTACAGCAAGCATGTTTACAGCAAGCACCTGTGCAAACCCCAACTCTGCAGACTGAATAGGAATGCATCGAGTCGAACAGAGCGGACGCGCCGGCCCTAAGGGCAACCGGCATATAAACTATTACACCAAAAATATCAAGAGGCCATAGCAACCATGTTGGAGGCCTGCGCTGTAGGTTAGGAGGCCCACAAGACACAAAGCAGCAAAAACAAAAAACCATCAAGCAAACACAAAACCAAACAATCTGGATTGTGACTCCAAGGGTTGCACTGCAACATCGTGAAACACTTCAAGATTTGTGCGTGTCATTCCTTTACACTGCAACATCGTGGTGCACTTCAAGATTTGTGCGTGTCACTCCTTCACAATTCAAAAGAAATCCCTGTGACTACAAGGGGCACACACACACACGCCTCCCCGAGGGGAGGCATATTTAAGGTGCCGACAGAGTAGTAGTAAGGCCAGGAACCCCTAGTAGCGTCAAAGTAGCGTCCGAGCACCTAGTAGGAAGGCCAGGAGCCGCTAGTAGCATCCCACTCTAAGGTCCCGACAGGAGGGAGGGGTAGGGAGAGAAGAGAAAAAGGAAAGAGAAGAAAGGAAGGTGTTCCCAGCTACGGCACAAGCGTCCAACGACACACCAAAAGAAGAGAGGAGAAGGGTTCCCAGCTATGACGAAAGCATCCAGGGACACCCAAGGAAGAAGGAAGGTGAAGAGAGGAAAGAAAGAAAGAAAGAAAGAAAGAGAGAAAGGGAGAGGAGAGAAAAGGAAAAAGGCAGGTGTTCCCAGCTACGAACAAGCGTCCAGGGACACACCATAGAAAGAGAGGGGTGATCCTGAGTATTAAAGAAAGAAAGGGGGAGGGAAGGGAGGAGGGGGGGCTAAGTTCTCCACAGGTTCCAACGAACCTCAAAAGTACTTTGACCGCTGTGGTCACCTTGTGCCCTGCCAAAGTGGCTGGCTGCTTTGACCGCTGCGGTCACGTAGAGGCATGAGCCAACTTGGAATTCAATAATCCGACAAATGTTGGCAAATAACTTTGGCATAAGCCTCCTGCTGTCCGCTTCGTTCCCGGGCAGGGGGAACAATGGACAAACCCCCGTTCGACGGGTCCACGGGAGGCACTCTACGGGCTCATCCCGGGCTGGCACGAGGCCAGACACACTTATGGATATGCGTACTGACTTGACAGCGGTGCCACACGCCAGCCTAAGTGAAAAAACACCTAAGGAAACAGGGCAAGTAAAGTTAAATTATATAGAGGCCATCGCTAGAAGTTGGAGGCCATCGCCCAAGTTTGGAGGCCATCGCACAAGCAGACAGCAACAAGGTTAGAGGTCATCGCAGATGGGTTGGAGGCCATAGTACCAAGTTTACAGCAAGCATGTTTACAGCAAGCACCTGTGCCCACCCCAACTCTGCAGACTGAATAGGAATGCATCCAGTCGAACAGAGCGGACGCGCCGGCCCTAAGGGCAACCGGCATATAAACTATTAGAAGGACACCAAAAATATCAAGAGGCCATAGCAACCATGTTGGAGGCCTGCGCTGTAGGTTAGGAGGCCCACAAGACACAAAGCAGCGAAAACAAAAAACAATCAAACAAACACAAGACCAAAAAATCTGGATTGTGACTCCAAGGGTTGCACTGCAACATCGTGAAACACTTCAAGATTTGTGCGCGTCATTCCTTTACACTGCAACATCGTGGTGCACTTCAAGATTTGTGCTTGTCACTCCTTCACAATTCAAAAGAAATCCCTGTGACTACAAGGGGCACACACACACTGACCACCAAGGTGATCCAAAGTGACGTAATTTGTGTAAAAAAATTGCAACATCAAAAGTACTGCGGGCCGACACGGTTGGCTACATTTGCCGCATGCCTCCTTCCTCAGAGACATGCGTGATGCCAAGAACTTCTGAGCCTGTGCCAAGTCCGAAAACATATACAATCGAATTCGGATGGATAATTTCTTACAAAGCAAAAGGCAAGACATCTCGTGATTCCCAACTCCTAATTGTTGTCCAGTGCCCCTGGAACCACAATATATAGTACATTTGAAGCAAGTGTGGTAAAAAGAAGGGGTCCTCCCAAGAGTCTCAAGAGATCAATTCCAGGTGAGCATCATTTCTGAACCTCTTGTTCTTCAGGTTTCGCCTGTTCGAATGATCTGCCCGATGGCAACTTGGGCTTTCGGAGCAAGAGCAAGAGGAGGGTCCTGAGTAGACGGTACCAATCACAAGTTTGGAGACTGTGGATCGCAATCTGAAATGGTCCAACTATGTCCAACTGGGTGACTGTATAACGTACACCCTCCTCCTAACTTTTGGCTCAATACCCTAACGCTCATTCATCCAAAGACTATGTTTGGCAAATTCCTCCCACAAGAAAACCCACCTGGGAAGGTCTAATTGCTTTCATAGAAACGGTTGCAATTAGAGAAGCTGAGTTCACAGGTAGTAGCCCTTGTGGACCTGAAGGAACTTGATCGGGCCGAGGTTGCCTGTGGCACGGCCCCTTACTCCAATTCCCCAAAATCTAAGCAGGATACAGTGACTGAAACCAGCCAACGCCAACTGAGCTGTTGCTTTAGGAGCAAGGCAGTAGTGAGTGTAGAGTGTTTTTTTCTTGTTTCCTGTGGATTGTTTGATGCTGATCTCAGCCAGATAGGAATGTTTACTGTTTACCTGTTGTTTGCAACCATCAACTGCTCCTCGTGACCAACATGTAGCAATCAATGTGTAGAATCTAGAATGATGGAATGAAACCAATTTGAGGGCATTGGACACTTATGACATCCTCCGCTTCTGGGTCGGTTTGGAAAACGGACAGGCAGTTTTCCTAACTCAGCAGCTGTGTTCGAGGATCGCCAGATCATTTGGAGGCATTTTTGCACAGCAATATGTGCCAGGTCCATGGCTGCTTTGGATTCTTGGTGTATTGATAAGAATGTGTGTGTGTGGTTGGACGCTTCGAATTTGCTGGTTTAAGATGGTTCTGTTCAAGTGAGCAACGACAAGAACCCCTGTGCAATTAATTTGGTTTGTGACCTGCCCTATTTTCTGGCTGAAGCATTTTCTAGAGGCTTCAAGCAGGGCAGGCCAGTGTAATTGTCCTACGCTATAGGTCGCCCTACTTTATTAATTAGGTGGGAGCGCCGAAATGCACAGATGACGCACCGCACGATTTCAGGCAGAATAACGCCAAATCTTCTCTTGCCGTGGCAAAGAGAAGACGGTTCTTTAAACTTTACTATGAAAACACGGATGTGAAAACTCGTGTTGTATCGCGACCGCACGAAGTGTCGAGATGGAAAGCGTGGAAAAAACAGTGAGGCGTGTCTTTTGCCTGTGGCGTAGCATGAACGAGGTTCAAGGGGCCCCTGCATGGGCGCAGGGCAGCCAAACAGCAACCGGAACGGTCAAAAGCTGTTCCAACCTGATTGCATGGAGTGAAATCCACACCGGTGGTGGTTCATCTCTTCAGTAGCTTCGCCAGAACTCAAGAGACTTCTGGCTACAGAAAGCGCAGCAGTTCCACTGCTTCAACTGAGTCGAATCTGCCGCTGCCAGCGCTTGGCAGTCAGGGTGTGTGTGGTAGGATTTGCCAGTTCGGGTCGTGATGACCGCGTCAGGGATCCAGTTTCTGGAGAGCTGGTCACGTACCGCAGCTAAGCGGTTGTGCGCATCGATCCAGTTGTCGCGGGCCTTCTTGTACTCGGTGTCGATCTCGCGCATCTCAATCCTCATGTACTCTCGGATGTCGATGAGCTGTTCAATCTCTTCTTCTTGTGCTCTGCATTGAGCTTGTAGGTCAAATAGTTCAGCTTCTTGGTCTCTCACGATGTCTTGCAGCCGCAGGTTCTCGGTGCGGAGGACACCAAAGGAGGTCTCAGGCTCCTTCTCGGTCTGTGTCTCGGCCGCTGTAGAGCTCGTTGAAGTCATAGTCCAGGTCGTTCTTGTAACCGTGGAGTTCCATGATGAAGTTCTCCCGTTGCCACAAAGGAAGCGCCACACCAGCATGCCAATCACAATGACATACAGGGTCACGGTCATCTCGGGCGACAGCATGCTTGCTATGACCTCATCCACCGTCATGGCCTTGACTCCAATCATCTGCGAGGTGAGGACTGCAAAGGCCAAGTGGTTGGGGTTGCCAGTCCGAGTGATGGCATGGCGTCTTGCGCTTGCCTGTCGCTCTGCCAGGGTCTTCTTCTTGGATGCCTGAAAGGAGACATCAGCTTGTAGTGAAAGGTGATGAGAACGAAGACGATCGGCAAAGAGCTGTCTCGCGGCATACTTGGTGACTCCATCGGCCATTTGAGCCTCAGATGAGACCCACTTCAGCCGGGACTTCATTGCCAGCATCTTCTGCTTGGTCACCATGACTTCAATCTTTGTTCTCTTGTCGCCTTGCAGGCTGGGTGTTTCAGCCTTGAGCGAGTCGTAGAGCGCCTTGGCGTCGACCACCAGTGACGAGGGCATAGTTGGTGAAAACTCGTCCACCTGTCGAAGTTGGAAGTCGTGTCGGGTGCAGCCCTCCCAGAAGATCAACAGGTACTCCAGGGCGTCCATGGCGGCCGAGCAGGCCTGGCTCTCAGCGTTGAGTGATGAACGACTCACTCTTGGCAACTTGAAGCTTCTCCAGTCCAGGACAATGTAGTCCTGTGTAGAGCCATCTTCTAGGATCTGTTGGTTGCAGAGGAAGATCACATAGCCACCTTGGGATTCGCTGTTGCGACGAACTCCCCAAGCTGCATCGCTCATGGCCACCATGCACAGCTTCTCCATGTCCCCTCCAAGATCTCGAAAGATCAGGGCAGCATCGCTGTTGTTCTTAGCAAAGCGGAGGAGCTTGTTGGCTTGAGCTGCAGTGTCACCTGTGGCGGCTGTGACTTCGCCGCACAACAGAGATACCGAAGCACTCAAATGAGGTGAGGTCTGAGTGGCAGGCCATTGAAGCGCTCCGAGAAGGGCTCTGAGGCAACTTTGTTCCTTGTTGTTGAGGGAACGGTTGGCATCATAATCATTGCATGTCATGGGCTTGACCTTCTTGAAGTAGTCGCTCTGGTGCAACCTGGACTCAGTGTTGTCTCGGCTCAGGTGGCAGCCGCAGAACTCCAAAGGTGTGTCTCCCTCTTCCGTCCAGTGCTTGAAGTTGAAGGCTTCCTTCAGCTTGGACTTGAGGTGTTCGTATTCGGAGGAGTCGGTCTTGCCACAGCCCAAAAGGTCGTCGACGTGGAGTCCCACCATGGAGATCAGGTTCTTGTCAGAGTCGTGGTAGGTGAAGAGGCACTGATCCAGCGGGTGAGCTCGGTATCCAAGGCTTTCAAGTCGCCTTCTGGCCACAATGAACCATTGCCTTGGGGCGTCGGCTTGACCGTAGATGGGCTTGATCAGCCTCATCAAGGTTCCGGCAGGAACACCGATGATATTGCAGGCGTCTCGAGGAATGCGAGCCCAAAGAACTCGTTCTTGAGGATCACCTTGGAGGAATGCCGTACTGACGTCGGCCGTCCAGCGTTTCCAGCCAGAGACTTGGCTGATAGCCAGCAACACTTGTCGGGAGGTCCTTGCCAAAGTCGGCGATGAAGTGTCCAGAGCGCCATTCAGCAAGTCAGGGTCAGAGAACCCTTGCAAGACCAAACGGGCCTTGGCCTTGAGGCCGCCCTTGCCATCCGCTGCCCACTTCAAAACAAAGCGAGCTTTCATCACTCTGTTGTGGTCGACAGAAGCGGGGTCGGTCTCAATCTCCCAAACTCCATTTTCGAAGATGCTTGAGAGCTCTGCTTTCTTGCCCTCCAGGAAGGTCAGGCGGTCCTCCAGTGACATCCGGCGCTCATTGAGGTCGGCGCTCTCCTTGACATGTTTCTTGCGAGGAGCGCTCATGCCAACTGCTTGCCAGATGTGGCCTCGGCCACGCAAAGTCTTGCGTCTGCGAAGCTTGTTGGTGAGATCGCCGATGTAGTGAAGACCATAGTGCTCTGCACCTGCCTGTGTGAGAGGGTACAGGGTTTTGCCAGTCCATCCATCAGCAAAGTGCTGCTCCTCAGTGGAGTTGACATAGATGGTGCGAGTTCCCTGCTGCATAGACAGACCGGTGGTGGTCTGCAGAAAATCAGTAGAGACTGGAAACTCTTCAGGATGGTAGGTGCTTGTTCTGCTCCAAACGTGGTTGCGAACCAAAAAGCCATCCTCGAAGCTCCACCAGTCCTGAGTGGCTCCCAAGACAAACTCGTTGTTCTTCTTGTCATAGGTCCAGCTTTCTGGAAGAGTGGTCTTGGAGAAGTCCATGGAGTGGAGGCCAACTTCAACTTTTGGCTCGTCAGTGCGAGCTTTCTTTCTTGTCCAAATGGTTTCCTGCTGATCGAAGCGTCGTCGTCGATCTTGAAAGCTTTCAGGTACAGCAGGAGGGATGTAGGTGGCATCCACTGGCACTTGACTTTGTGATGAAGTCGGTGGTGCTTCAGGAGGTTGATCCAAGTCGTGGTCCTCGGGAACTGCAGGAAGATCAGCAGGATCACGAGTTATCCTGGGCGTTGGCCTGTGTGCTGGTTCGCCCATTGGCTCTTCAACTTCATCTTCATTTTCTTCCATTTCCAACTGTGGAGGTCCATCTTGTTCTCGTGGTGGTTCAGGTTGATCATCATGAACCTCTGAAGGAAGGGGATCTTGTTCAGGTTGATCCTCGGTTGCTTCCTGAGTTGGAGGAAGTGAATCAGGTGGCTCTCGTTGAGGCTCTTCATGTCGAGGTCGTGAAGGTGCGGATCGAGCAGCGTGCTCCGAAGCAAGCTGTTGTTGTCCATCAGGTTGTCCATCAGGTTGTCCGGGAGAGGCCATTGTAGATGGTTGAGCTTCGGTGTCGGTGGGAGTGTACTCCAGGTCACTTATCTCAGGGTCAACCTCATCGATGGAGCGCTTGTTGGAGCGTCGAAGGTCAACAATGCGAACTGCTCGCCGCTGTCGTAGGTCTCGTAGAGCCTGTTGAACTCGAGCTGAGCCGTCGATGGTGCCAGTGTCGTTGACTAACTTGCGAACGTGCTGGGTGCTGGCACGGAGAAGAACGGTTCCATGAGCCAACCAATAGCAGGACACGGTGCCAGTGTCAGGGTTTCTCTCGATGGCCAGAACGATCGCAGGACCTTTCCAGCGAATGGTGTGTGCTCGATCAGCAGCATCTCGCCAGTACAGACATCGTTCTCCAGGATGAAGGTCTTCATCACGGCCAGTGTACCTGCGAAGGAGAGCTCGGCGCAACTTGACATCAATTTCAGCCTTGCCACAAGCCTGCTGGGCTGAGAACTTCAAAGTGAGGCGTCTGTGAAGTCGCTCCTGCTCGGACATCTGAAGTTGTAGTGGTCCAGTACATTCATCAGAAAGGAGTCCGGGCATTGAAGGTTCTCGGCCTAATGCAAGCTGGGACGGAGTGAAGCCGTTCACGAAGGTGTTGGAGTTGACCGAGGGAACCACCCATGATAAAGCCTGTTGAACTCCGTCAAGGCCTTTTAGTTCGTGCTCCAGCATGAAGATGGAGACTGCCTTCCGAACCAGTTGATGTCTGCGCTCAACGATGCTGGTGCGAGTGTGAGCTTGGCCAGGTGATATGCGAAGCTCGATGTCGTGCTGTTCACACCATGTAGCTGTGGAGTCTGAAGCCCATCCAGTTCCCTCATCGACGTAGAGCTGTTTCGGAGGTCCATGGAACTGGATCCAGGCTCGTTCAAGGGCCTTTTGAAGAGAGATGCCCTTTTCATCTGGGACTGTGCGAGCTGCCATGTATCGAGTGGCAACGTCCACCATGATGAGCACAGCAATGCGCTTGGTGCGCTGCTTGCGTTGACCAGCCTCAAGGAGCATGCCAATCTCGTCCATCTCCAACCACAAAACATCTGCTTGAACCTGGGCGTTGAACTCAGTGGGTCTGTCCAGATGGCCAGGTGCGTTGCCCTTCTTGACGGAGTGGATCTCGCAGTACGGACAGTGAAGGTCTTGAACTGCCGCTTGAATTGCCTCGTTACATCCTCGCTCCTTGAGCATCTTGAGAAGAACATCTTTGCGAGGATGACCAAGATTCCGATGAAGTCGGTAGGCAATGCGGACTGCTTCACTGCCATGAACTTTTCCGAGTTTGCGAAGGACACCAGTGAGAGCTTTGTCATCTTCATTGTGGACGGTGTAGACTTGCTCATTGAGGCCTTCATGAAGAAGTAGTCCACGAGCGAGTACTGTTGCTAGCTCTGTCTGGTAGTTTTCAGCCTTCTTGCACCTGTTCCGTCCTTCGAGGCGTTGATGAGCATGTTGTCCATCGCACCTTTTGGACATCAGATTGAACATTGCCCATTTCGTCGTCTGCAGTTTGGTGGTCTTCTTGATGGGCAGGAACGAACCGTCATCGGCTTCGGCAACTGCTCCGTAGGCACATTGGTCGAAGATCGCTTGATGTCCGGGAAGATGTCGGAGTTGAGGCGTCTCCCAAGCTAGACTCAGGTGAGGGTGTTCGATGTGAGCGTGGTCTCCTCTTCTCACCTGCTTGTAATACAGCTTCTTGCACATGGTCAGATGGGTTCGCCGGTCCACTTCACGGCGTTCTTGAAGATCTTCAGCTTGAGCCTCATTTTGCACATTGATCTGCTGCATCCTCGACCAGAGAGTGCAACTGGGTGACATGTAGATCTCGTCAGGCTCAAGCTCATCGCACAAGCGTAGGAGAGCTTTTCGATGTGCGGCTCTGTTGAAGTCCCATCCATCTTCGAATCCGAAGCGCATCACCTCCACATCGCCATGAGCTTGAAGGAGTTGAGTGATGCGGCCTTCTCCAGCATAGACTTCCCAGATCAGTCGCTTGCGGTGGGAAAGGCCATGTTCCCGGGCATGATGTACTTCTTGTTGAAGTGTCTTCTGGTGTTCGGCCAGCTGGTGCTCAAACATGGTGAGGGTCTTTTCCAACTGTTCAATCGTTTTGCTTGTTTCACCAGGTAGTAGGTCGGTCATGTTCTCCTGGTCGACCTCCATATAGGTTGTCTCATCGGTTTCACCCTTTTCACATGCCTGGAAGTAGGCGTGCACTTCAGTGGTCATCTCGAAGAAGCGTTCGTGGGCGTTGAGGTCGTCCAAGAAGTCATTCAGCTTGAGGCCATTGTTGTGATCGTCTTCACATCGAAGATCGAAGGTCTCGGGGAAGAAGTCCTCAGGGCGTGTCACCCCTTCAGCGAGGCGAAGCAGCATTGCTCCCTGACGGCCACGAGGGATATCCCGCCAGGTCTCCTGGTCAAGCATGCGCATCCGAGAGCGGCCAAAGTCAATCTCGGCATGGAGGGCTTCAAGCAAGGGTCGGCCAAACAACATGGGAGTGGCACCGTAGATCACATAGGCTTGGATCTTGCCGCCAACGTCAGCCAGACGTGTTGGTAGCTCGATCATCCATTTTGACTGTCCTGTAGCATCTCCACCGAAGCGGAAGGACTTGTCACACTGCTTGAAGTTCAACTTGTCCATGGGGTAGCCGAGGATTTCCAGCCACTTGAGGTAGCGCAAGATGTACTCACTGCCAGCCAGGAATGATGATGCTCCTTGGTCCTGGATGCAAGCGTCAGGATCCGGCGTGAGCCAGCCGCCGGCACGAACCAAAGCTTCCCCTTGGGCATAGGCCTCTTCCGGGTCATAGAAGATCTCATTCTCATAGTCGCAGCCCTCCTCAGCATCATAGAACTCTTCAATGCCGAGGACCATGTGGACCATTGTGTCATCATCTGCAGGTCGCTTCTTTGGTGAGCTTGACTGTGCACCTGCTGTCGAACAATTTGCTGCGAAGTGGCCAGGCTTTCCGCAACGAAGGCATACCATAGCTGAGCGAGCTCTCTGCTTGCCGCTAGGCCCTTTTCCAGACTTTGAGCCTTTTCCTTTGGAAGAGCTCTTTGACTTGCCAGGGCTCTTGGATTTGCCTTTTCCGGAACCTTGGGCCATCAGAGGTGCTTGACCCTTTCCGCCATCAACCACTGCCACGACAGGGTAGAAGCCACGGCTTTGTCTGAGCTGGTTGAGGCGGTTCTTGGCATCGACGTAGGTGCTGTAGATGTCATCGAACTCCTGGGTGTCGAACATGGAGTCCAGCTCTTCTTGAGCTTCATCGTAGTAGAAGGTGTCATCGGGCTCTGGGTCGTCCCATTCTCCCATGGTCTCCTGGAATTCGTCGGGGTCGATGGCATCCTGGAAGTAGGTCTCTTCATTCTCATAGTTCTCATCCAGCTCATAGTCCTCCTCCCAGAAGACTTGGCTCTGCCTCTTCCATCGGCCGGGGAGCTGTGGCTTCCTCAGGTGTGCAGGAAGGTGTACATGGCGATGATCTTGGCCGAGGATCAGGTAGAGAGCCTGCTCGACAGCTGGAAGCGTGAGGGTCGAGCCGATGTTGGTCTGGATGAGCTGCTCTTGTTCCTTGGTCAGCCCGGCTCTCTTCAACATCATCCAGCCGGTGATCTCCTCAGGAAGATCAACTTTGTGCTTTGAGACCTGTCTGAGGGTCTGGTGGAACTCGGTGGTGTACTCCAGGATCGACTGATCCTTCTTGCGCCGCAGCTTGAAGAAGAACTGCTCGAAGTGGGTCGGCATTTCGACCTTGGCGTCATAGGCCCATTGGCGGTCCAGACGCTTGAGAAGGATGTCGAGGCTAGATTCTTTCTCCAGCTCCTGGAGATCTAAATCTTCACATTGGGTCCAGGATGGACCTTCAAGGACTGAGAGGACATTGAGGGCGATCTCGCTCTTCCGCCCTTGAAGCTCAAGCTTCCGAGCGTACAGGGTCACTCGCCTCCGCCATTCAGCATAGGTCGTGGTCGTGTTGTCGAAGCGGGGCACGAAGTTGTCCTTCAGATCCTTGCCAGCATTCGCGGAGGAGCTGCCGCCATTCGCGTCGCGTGAGGTTCCGCGGCGGGTCGGCGACGAAGCCATCGCGGTGCTGGAGCCCCCTCCTGTGAGGAGGCTCCGCTACCAATATGAAAACACGGATGTGAAAACTCGTGTTGTATCGCGACCGCACGAAGTGTCGAGATGGAAAGCGTGGAAAAAACAGTGAGGCGTGTCTTTTGCCTGTGGCGTAGCATGAACGAGGTTCAAGGGGCCCCTGCATGGGCGCAGGGCAGCCAAACAGCAACCGGAACGGTCAAAAGCTGTTCCAACCTGATTGCATGGAGTGAAATCCACATTTACCATGTCTGTTGCTATTGCTAGTTTGGCACTGACATGGGGGAGATTCCTGTGCATTTTGCCCTCTCTCGTGGGCTGTAGCCGCTTCCTGGTCGTTCATAGGTTTGATGGACAACACGTACGTACCCATGTGAAACATATATGTATATATATATATAGGTTTGGTCATGGTTGGAACGATGAACAGTAAAGCGGAACGTGCATAGGTTTTCCTTTGATTTGGAGGTTTCCTCATTTCATGCTTCCTGTCCTTCTCCAATATCCTGCTTTGCCAGCGCCAATTTCCTGGAGTACATTTGCGGTAGTTTCGCCCTTCCAACGCTTGTGTTTGAAACTCCGCGTCAGAGTGAGATCGACGCCCAAATTCGCCTCCCAGGACAGGCAGTGCTGCTTTCGCCCCCGAAACCACTTGGACCTCCGCGTGGCGACTTGCCCCGCATATACTTGGTGTTTTGGGGGTGCTTCGGTCAGCTTTCGGCGGCTGTTCGATTCCTGGGTTTGTGATATCAATGTAACAACGGTCTTGTGCAAATAATGTGGAAGAGGTATGACCAGGTATGAAGAGGTTGCATTCTCCTAAGTTGGGATGGTCATCCAAGTACTGTGTTTTTCTTATCCTTTCCCTGCTTGAGTTCGCGCCTTTACTAATGCGGTTGGAAAAAAGCTTGCTGCGCTTCAATACGATCAGACTGACACCCATGGGTTTCAATGATTCTCTCAACTTGCTTTGCTGGCAGTGTCCAGATTCTAGAGCCCATTGGTACAGAAGAAAATGTTATTGAACAATCAACATCCATTTTATGACTATATATATATATGTATGATATATGTTTATGTCGCTGATGTGCCTTCCGATGATTAAGGCTATCCAAGCTGCAAGGACACCAAGTAGGGACGGTATATTCAAAGCAAACTAGGTGTACGCACATTATACATATTGCATATATATCATATATATATATATTATACATACCGCGTTACTTGTGTATACCGTATATATGAAACTGCATGTAGGTCAAACGGGCACTTGAAGTCCTTTGATTGCGCCATTGTTCCAGTGTGTTTTTCGCCTTGACAAACGAAATGAACGGCCGGCAGAAATTGCAGCTGGAATGTGCCACGTGATAGTTACTTTATAGTATAATTCTTTAGTTATTTGTATTTAGCAGAATGTTAAGTCATGAGCTTGGTTCCAAAAGCGCAAGTCACCGGCGCAACTTCCATACATGATTGCTTCAGCTGGACGAAGAACTCTGGGCTTGGGTGAGTATGAGATGTCGCTCTCTCACCAACGGCTCCCCGCTTCAGGTGATTGCGGCAAGCGTGACTCGCACCACCTGCGTCAGCGTCGAAAAACACTACAGTTGATGCGAAGCGTCAGCTGTGATGTTTGTGGCCGGATAGCTTCAGGGATCCGCATGGTGGGCTGTACGCATGCAGAGGCCCAACGGCTGAAGGGTGGGTTTTGAGCGATTGGAAGGGTGGAAGGTTTGGGGGAGTTACTTTGGTTTTGTACCTTTGAATTGGGCCTACGATGGCGTACGTATTCAAGACGTTTGAGTTTCTTGGGGGAGAGTGGGGGTTGTTTTCGCACAAGGTTCATGCAGGGTTGTTTGGGGGGAGGCAGGGGGTTGGCTGGCTTGTGCTGGTCCTGTTGAGAGCTGGTCCTCCAAAAGGTGGGACTCGACTCAAGTTGAAGATTTTGACTATAACAAAAAATCATAGTCCAGCAATCAAGTTTCTGGCACTAGTTTTTTGCCACCAAAAGTACTGTCTAGAGATTTGAGGCTTCTTGGATTGCAGCTTTCCTGAAACTGATCTTCATTCCTTATTGTTTGCTTTTCCTGTTAATCGATTCTTTTTACTGTTCTTGATTCCTTTAATATTTAAGTCTTCGAACATTTCGAGACGTATCGAAGCACTTTCTTTACAGCAGTCTTATTCAAAAATCTGAAAGATTTCTTTTACATTTTGAGGTGAATTGTTTTGAAGGTCTTTGGATACAGATTTCCATTCATTTCTCAGATCCATTTTGGATTTCTTGAATCCTTTAATTTTTATATAGAATTGCATATGCATGTGCACGTCTTCGACCTTAGGTTGTTCATTCCTTTCGCTTTTATTATTGCAGATGTTGTCAGTCTTGATTCCTTTCATTTTATTATTGCCAGAGTGTCTCCAGAGGTAGCTACTGCAAGTAACGATTCCTTTTGTTTTCATCAATTGATTGGTTTTCCCTCACATTATTCTAGGGGGGTCCAATTGTTGAGGGAGGTGTGTGTGTGAACAATCCAGGGTCTACATTAGAGGCCCAATGCCCTAATGATAGTATAGTTTAGTCCACCTTTCTTGGGGCCAATGTTTTGACTCCCCCGAAAAAATGTTAAAGTCCTTTCTTCCTTCTCTTAAGCCCTTTTGATTTCACCAATCCTTCATCCTATGCTCCTATCACCAATTGTTGATTGTTTAAGCTTGCTTCTCTCCAACCTCCAATAATTACACTCCAAATAATCCTTTCCTCCTGCTGGCTCATTTGTTGGCTTATGCCTTTGGCATTGCCATTTCAGTGTCACTCAGTGGCCAAATTGGTGGGCACATGCGGCATTTGCTGCACACCCACCTCATCATTCTTTTGGATCAGTTTCTCCATGGCATGCTTTGCTTTCACAGTCAGCCACTTCCAGACAACCTCCCCAAACAAGAAACCTTCTGGGGGGTTTATTAATCCTGTTGCAATCATGCTTTGTATGGAATGATTGTCCTTTTTGTGCTGCGCCCGTGCCCGCATTTGATATTTCCCTGACTTTTACGTTGGATGTGAGTTGTGATGGCCTGACGCGCGCCATGACATTGGTCAATTATCTACCAATTGAATAGATTTGATTATATCTATATCTCTCTCTATATATATATATCAACCATGCATGCGCTTGCCGTGTCCGGTCCATCAGTGCGAGAGGCAGTGCCGAAGATTTGCGAGGCGGGAATACATGGCTTCGCTGGGGCAATAGAACCATAGTGCTGTAACAGGAAGTTGTAGTGCAACACATAGTAGAGACCTGGTTTGTGGGACCCGGGTGGCATTTGTGATTTGCTTCGGCGAGACGCATCGTCAATCGGTTTCTTGGAGGATTGGCGCCGACAACGCATGGGGGCAATAAGATGCAATAAGCATGTCCAAGATGTTCACTTGGGCGAAGCCGGATAGATCTACCATGACCCACCAACCCAAAGCACAAACACGGGGGGCCAGGGCAAGACCTGGACCTGGCCACATGTGAAGTCAGGACCGGACCTTGAAAATTTGCAATGCAATAGCTTGGTCGCACACAGTGGAGGAGCTAGTGGGCTGCGAATTTGCTCGTTTCTTGTATGCACACTGACTGATGCACATGTTTTTTGTCGTTTTCTCAAGTTGAAGGCATGTTCTTTTTTGCATTTTTTAGCTGACTGTAATTGGGCGTGCGTTGATTCAGCTGACCTTTCATATGAGGGAACTCTTGAGAGAGCTTGGTGCTGACAAGACAAGATGTCAGGCACATGTGCACTGACAGGACCAGCTCGGACTTTGCAATGTTCAGTGGTAGAGAGGTGATGATAGGTGAGAGGCGAGGGTTTTCCTCCTGGAAACCCACATGGGAAGTTGCGAAAGTGATTCATTTAGTGGTTTGGAAGTGTTCATTTCCTTCTTGATTCTGTAGACTTCTGGAGAGGTAGATCTTTAGCTGTTTCGTGCCGGCTTGGGTTGCGGTATGTTGAGGGGTCAAAGGGCATGAGCGCGTCGGACGCCAGATTCAGGAACTCGTACCTGCAACCGCAACAACGACAAGTGCAATGCATGCCATTGCTTCACCCTCCAACAGCGGGAGAATGTCAAAGTGAGGCGACATGGCAGGCCTGGCAGAGCTGGAATGGGTGATTGGCCGCTTGCGGATAAGTGGTCCAGTGGTGTGGAAGCACACTGCTTCAGAAGAAATCAGATAACATATGAGGATTTACTGTAGTGATTTATCCTTTGAGATCCTTTGAGTCTTTCTCAGAGCTCTAGTTGTACAGCACAGGCTTTGGCAAGACCGGCATCCGTGCCTTCCCGGCCCAGACTACCATCTCAACGCGCTGCAAAGTCGGGACAGCAATACCCAAGGCAGGCAAGCTGGAAGAGACAAAGAGACATGGAAATGTATACCAGCACCTTCCACAGGTACTGTTTATAGAATTTGATTGGCCTCCAAGAGGTGTTTATGGTAGCAATGCCATAAGGGTTGTTGGTGCAGTTGGTGTTAGTCGTTGTGGCTGCGTTGCGGTTGTGGTTGTGGTTGTGGTTGTGGTTGTTGTTGTTGTTGTTTCTGGTGGTGTTTCTGCTGCTGCTGTTTTTGTTGCTGTTGCAGATGTTGTTGTCGTTGGTCATTGGTCTTGTCTCCTTGCGTGCGCCAAAGAGACTCCTTCTACAGTATGTCTTTAACCCTCGGCTAGCCAAGAATGTGATGCCCAAAACTATGGTAAATATCGATATTTAACAGTCTAACATCTTCAGCAAGCAACAGCCGCATTATTTACGATGCACTTTGCCGTGGGATCCATCATTGTTTGTTACAGTGTTTTT